TTTTTTTTTTTTTTGACCAGGGATCAAACTAGACTTTGTGCTTGGGAGGCAGGCAGCAGAACCACTGAGCTAAATCCCTGGCCCTCTTCAGAATTATTCTTGTGGAGGAGCAGTTACATAAGGGTTAGGTTGCTGCCCATTCTGCCTCCTTACACCTATGTATTCTCCCCTTCCTTGGCAAGAGGTCTTTTTCTTTTTCTTTTTTAATGTTCTATGAATATTATATAGAAATTGTTAATAGCTGTGTTAGTATTGATGCGATCAGTAAATGCAGGAGACTAAAGGAGGTAGGAGAGGCATTGACTGTCCAAGGAGGCTGAGAATGTTCCCAGTGGGGACCCAATGGTTGCCTTTCCTTACCCCTCTTGAGCCCAGAGCAGTCCCTTTAATGTTTTTGCAGCCCTCATCCTCCTGTCAGCAGGGCCTGTTCTATAGCGTTTTAGGGAAATAGGGAAAATACATGGGACTCTGTTCTCAAGAGATTCACCACTGGCAGAGAAAGAGATTTATTGCACTTTGCTACTTTACACCTGAGGTCTCCATGGCATTCTAAAGGGGGCCAGATTGGTCACCTGCAGATCACCGCATGAGCCTTATTCCCGCAAGCCCCTCAGTTCTAATCTCCTGATGTTAGCTGAATGTTCTCATACACCACCAGAGCTCATGCTTAAGCACAGGCCTAGCTCCAGTGTCTTTTCTAGTCCTCTGTAGCACATGTGCAGTGGGATGGGTGAGAATTATTTCTTAGTCTATCCTAGGCCTTGATAATCACACTGTTCAGCCTCTAATTCTGGGACTTCATGCACTGAGATTTGGGGAGAGTGACATAGAGGTTAGCTTCTTTCAAGTCTTTTTCAGCTTACATTGTCAGAGATCTAGAAAGACCCAAATTTGTATTTTCTAAGGCTCTTAAAACATTATAAAGTATTTTCTATATTTTAAATATTTACATTTAATAATGTCTTTATCTCCTAGTATAAAAATGTGAATGTATATAAATTACTGAAGATGATTTCAAAAATCTAAAATCAAGGTAGTCTGAAAATCTTCCCGTATCTGTTGGCCCTGGAAGAGTCCAAATGCAAATAGATAGTATTCTGTAGTGTTTCTTCACTCATCTCTTCCCAATTAGGTTCCCTTCCTGTGAAGGTGAGACAGTAGATAGTAGGCAGCGAAGAAAAAGAAGCATCTCACCTTAGCCTGGAATAGAAGGAAACACATGGACTGCCCCCTCTCTGGAGGCAGTACACTTCCTCCTGGGAAAGGTGGCATCCCTCTTCCCAAGATGGGGCCTGTGTGATGCTTCCCTCACCTCACACATACACATCAAGAGAAGGATATCTAATTCTTATCTCAATTCCTCTACTTTCAAGGAAAATAGTGTTATAATTAACACTGAGATGTTCTATGTTTACCAAACAAATTACAGTGGCAAAACCTATGTCTTGATTTCTCCACCTGTTATGACTCTTTTATAGCATGCCTACAAATTATTTGCCTGTCTTTCCATCAAGTGGCAGGGTCGATGTCCCCTGCTCTGAATCTGGGTAGGCCTGAGACTGCTACAAAAGGAATACGGCAGAAGTGATGCTGTGTTAGTTTGGAAATGAAGTCATAAAAGACTTTGCTGTTTCCATTGTCACTAGGAGCGCTTACTCTTGTATCCCATGTAAGAAGACTATTTTGAGACAACCATTATGGAGAGGCCAGATGTAGGCTTGCTGACTAAATTATTATGCATTAAAGTGTTAACTGTATTCATCAAGACAACTGCTGAGAAGTTGACCCAAAAGATATAAATAACAAAGAAATTAAAATTTTATACTATGATAACATCTACTTTAAATAAAAAAAGGCATTAATGGAAACAGACAAGCATAAAAGATATAAAACATACAGAAAACAAACAGCAAGATTGCAGATGTATATCCCACCTTATCAGCAATTACATTAAATTAAAATGGACTAAAGCTCTAATGAAAATGCAGAGATTGAATTGATTTTTTAAAAAAGCATGATCCAACTGTAGGCTACCTATAAGAGACATGCCTGAGACTCAAAGACAACCCAGAAAAGGATGCAAAACTATATTGAAATATTAAATTGTACACTATAAAATTATACTTATTAGTCAAAAATAAAAGCCAGGTATGATGCTATATACCTGTTATTCCAGATATTTGCGGGAATTAAGCAGGAGAATTGCAAGTTCAAGGCCAGCCTGGGAAATTTAGGGAGACCCTTTCTCAAAAAATTAAAAAAACAAGCTTGGATGTAGCTCAGTGGTAGAGTGTACCTAGATTCAATCACCAGTACCACAAAAATACATAAAAAATTTCACAAAGATATGCAAGCAATACCCAAACTCTTGATCTAGATGTAGAGTTTCTATGCATAATGGTCTTTGAAATTGTTACTAAAGGCAAAGAAGGACCTTATATAATGGTAAAAGACTCAATCTAGCAAGAGATAATGGTTAAAAATTTTGCAACTAACAATACAGTCCTAAAATACATGAAGCAAAATCTGACAGAATTGAAATGAGAAATAGAAAACTCAGCGGTAATAGTTGGAAAATTCACCATCCCTCTTTCAATTTTGAATAGAGCAACTAGGCAAAAGATCAACTAGTAAATAAAAAACTCAAACAGCACACCACCCAGCAACAGCAAGAAAGCACATTCCTCACAAGTACACATGGAATATTTTCCAAAATACATCATATGCTAAACCATAAAACAAGCCTCAATAAATTTAAAGAAATGAAATCATACGACATATGTTCTCTAACTACAAAGGAATGCAATGAAAAGCCATTAAGAGAAAGAAATTTAGAAAAATCATTATGCAGAAATTAAACAATATACTACTAAATAAGTATTGCCTCAAAGAACCTCACAAAAATACTCAAATGAAAATGAAAACCAAATAAACTAAAATATATGGGACACAGCCAAAGCAGTTTTCTCTTTCTTTTGGAAATGTACTTATTTGTTTGTTTGTTTGTTTGTTTATTGGACGTCAAAGCAAGCTGACATTCTCATACAAACTCTAACTGCTACTTGTAACATCTTTTCCCAGGGCCTATCCACATGCAGACCAAAGGTGTTGGCTCAAGCTAGCAACTGTGATTTTGTTAACCCAGCAGAACACTTTCCAAAGAAAGGACTGGTTTCCATCCCTGCTTTGGGCCCTCTTGTCTTCTGTTGTTTTGGGAACCTAAGCAGCGCAGTCTTCTCACAGCCTGTCAGAGACAGATTCTGTTGTTTACCTCACCCACAGAAGGGAACTATTTTTCTCGGTCATTCTAGTTAAACATTTGTCAATTTTACTGTGTTTTTTCATTCACTATTTTACTGTTTCTCCAGTGTCTATTTCATATATTTCCACGGTGATTTTTATTATCTCCATCTTTGTTTTTTTACCCCCTTTGGGTTTAGTTTTTTTTTCTTTTAGCAGTATCTTTTTTTTTTTTTTTTTTTTTT